ATCACTCTTAACATCAACCCCCCCAGTGCCAGCTCCCTTGCTGAGGAGTGCTAATGAGCTCATGAACAGCAGGGCTGAATTTCGCCCCTTTCCTTAACTCAGTAAAAAAACCCCATAAACACTGAAATCTGCGCGGGTGTGGTAAGAAGCGTTAATCTGGAGAGGTGCTGAAGCATCACGAAGCCTTTTGCTGTGGGAAAACGGCCCTGGCTTGAATATACCAGGGATGCTGCCACCCTGCGCTGCAAATAATGATGCATTTTAGCGTGCCACAAGTTAAAAGTGGGTTAAAATGCTGGATTCTTCACAAGATGCCTCACATGAGTCCATTTTTCCTCTCTCACTCCCTCTCCATTCGTTTCTTACAGAAAGTTTTGATCGCAGTGTCAGGACACTAGGAGAACATGCGGGGGAACCATTTCTCACTTTGCTGAGCGAGGTGCAAGACGGGAAGATATTTCATATAAGTTCAGTCCTTATTTTACCCCACCTGCAGCTCTCCTGTGTACAAGCAAACTGGAAAGAAATAGTTTAGGGAAGAGGAAATTTAAATAGGATGTTTCAGTTAAATCAAGGAAAAAAAAAAAATTCTAATATTTCCAGAGCTTTCCCAGCATTCAAGTGAAGAGAAACACTTTCAGAGAAGTGGAGGGAGAGGAAAAGCCAGTTTTAAGTGGCAAGTCCACTTCAGTATGGAACTGTTGAGACAAACATTTGAACTTTTTTCAGCGTATTTTCTGAAAAATCACAGATCAATCCATTTTGAGGTATTGACAAGAGTTTATCAAACTTTTTTGTCACTCTAAAATTGTAGGGTTTGGTCAAAAATGGTTGCTCAGCCCTCCTCAGAGGAGAGTCTCATTGAGCTCTTCTGGTGCTGTTCCTCTCCCGTCCCACTTAAGGGGAAGGAATTGCTCCATTGCAGTGTACCAGATGAGAGGGACAGAAGGGGACTTGGGCTCCTCAGACCTCCATCACACGAGAAGTCTGAAGTGACTGAAGAATATTAGAGACTTCTGAGAAAGGCCAATTTTGGTTGCATTGTCAGTGACTAGGAGGCCTTTAGGCCTAAAATGTCACCCTGGGAGACAAAATAATCTCATGAATGGGCCTCTTTGTGAAGTAGCCAACACTTTAATCCCACTGGGGTTGGAAACAACCCAGGAAGAAGGGCTGTCCCACCTTGATTTTGCCCTTTGTGGAGTCCAGACATCTGTGTCAATGGAACAAAAAGAAAAAAAGAATGGAAAATAAAGAAGTGTATTTTCCAGTCGCAGGAAAAAACAGCTTGCCCTTCTGAGAATAGAGCTGTGCCATAGGAACAGGAACTGACTCAACGACATCTTCGAGGATGCGTGTTGGTATAGTGGGTGGACCTGATACTAGAGTGGGTAGAGTGGTTCAGAGAGGAAGGGCAGCATCACAACAACCTCTTGAGTGTAACCAGCTGAGCAGAAACCTTGAGACATGGGCAGAGTCACGAATGTCCCTTGACCACCTTCAACTTCAAGAAACACCAGGAACTGGGAGCTCTGTAGGGAGAGAACTTTCTCCTCTTTGGCTCCTGCTCCTGGTAGATGGAAGTCAAAGTCTGCCTATAGCTTGGGATGGGACGTGAGGTGGAGGAAAAGGCAGAAGCAAAGTCCTGATTAATTGGGTGATAATCCAATTGATAAAAGCAAACCCCTTTGATCTTGGCACTGTTGAGGGCACAGCATCCGAAAATGCAACCTGCGGTGATTTTATATCATACTCACCTTGCTGCATTCTTCCTGGTACTCCTCCCTATAATATCAAGGGCCTAGGGTTATTACTACAAACTGACCAGATAATCTGGTTTGTCGGGTTTTGGGGAAATACTGAGAACAACAACAAAACAGCATATTTCAAAATCCTGGGCCAGATCTTCAGCTGCTTCACAAAACACAGCTTGGATTTACATACCTGATAGCTGAGTTGCGGTGCCCAGCCAAAAGCCGGACAACCTCTAATGGTCTAGAGCCATCTGGAAGTCCCTGCCATTTGTGTCAGCTGTAATACTGAATTTACGGAGCAGCTCTGAGCCGAGGCTCAGAATAAGTCAGAACAGAGGTAGCTGGGTGACAGCAGCCGGGCACTTAACCAAAGCAGAAAATAACGGTGTTAAAATTGTCTTTTGCTGCATGTCTCCCTCGTTGTAATTCATGGGGCACCTGAAGCTGTCTGGTGTGGAAAAGCAGTAGAGAATTTAGCTGCCTAGTGAATAAAATCAAGTGTAAAAAATCTTGGGGGAAAAAGCAGCGGTCTGGAAATTGAGCTTCTTAAGTCATAACAAGAATTAACGGGATTAACTTCCAGTTGTGACTCCATCATATTCTTCCTCTCTGCCCCAACTAGAAAAGTGTCTGATGGCTCCAAGACTTTCACCACCTCTTTATGCACGGCACAGTCGTGGCTGGGGCTGAGGAAGGAAAGGCTCTGTAGCATCTTTGGGCAGGGACCGGTGGGTTTATCAGATCACTGCATTCCCCTGCTGCATTTTCATGGTTGCTGGCGTCCCACTGCCAGCTGACCTTGGTTAATGGCTGGCCACGTGTGTGAGGGCTTGTGTTCAGGCCGGTGGGTCCGTGCTGTTTGTGACCTCTGATGGAGGCGATGCTGCACCTCCAGCTCTGTCGGTGTAGATGCCTAACCCAGCAGTTCTCCCTTCAGATCCAGCATGCGTCGGCGGGGTGCGAAGGTGCACAAAGACAACCAGGCATGGGATCCAGCCCTCCGCACCGGTTCCTGTCTCAGTACTCAAGGGATCCCACAGCAGCGCTGCCGTAGGTCCCCAACTTCTCAGCCGCATGGGCTGGATGGAGGAAGATAGTCGGGAAGGACTGCAGAGCAGTCGGTGCAAGCGGTCATGTTGGGGGGCTGGATGGGGAGGTCTGTCCTGTACACCCAGTTCAGCACTGCCTCTGGCCATGGTTCAGCAGCCGATAATAAATACCTCAACTAAAAAGCCCACGTTCAAAGGCTCAGAAGTGTTAGTGCTTGTGAGAATCACCTTTTCAGTCCTTCCTGGAAAACACAAGGAGAGGATCATTACTCGTGTTATTATCTCTTTCTAGATACCAAAAAACCTGGAATTGCAACAAATTCTTCTGCTCTGGCCATGAGACGGATGTCAGGGTCCAGACAGTTATCCTGAGATATATCTGTCTCGGCAGCTGTGGAACAGAGACACTGCAGTCCCTTCAGGACCAGCCATGCCCGGGCACCTTTGAGGAACCTCACGTTCTCCATGTTCCGCTGCAGAAGCAGAAAACGCTTTGACCATCTCGCAAGGCAGCCTGTCTTGGCTCTATGCAGCTCTCAGAGGAGCAGGGGTTGTAGGATTACATCCCGAATTTAGAGACATTCTCTACCTCAGCACCTCCATTCTCAGACCCTATTTTTCGTATTAACCACCCAGCAGGAAGTAACATGGGCTTTTCATAATGAGGTGTGTATTGCTGAGTTTCAGTAAATAGCCAGCTCTGATTTCCTTCTCTCATACAGCACCAGTTACAGGAGGTACTACAAGAGCCTTCGTTC